CCGTTCGTTTGGAGCACATACTATTCAACGTATAGTGGGATAACTACCTACGTGAACCACGTATGGAACTAAGTGAAAATTCGAACATATCTCAGCTATTCCCCAGCTTACGTTGAATGCTCTGAAGAAATCGGCACTTGGGCGCTCCGGAGCTTGTAATACTACGTCAGATACGTAGCTGAAACCGAAACTGAACACCGTCATGAGCCACAGAGATCCTACCGGCAACTGAGCAAGGATAACGCACGCTCGCCATCAGATGTGATCGTCCTGTCCCTTTCTCCATTTGCTGAAGAATCATGTCTAACGCCAACCTAAAACGCGAGTCCCAAGACGCTAAACGAAATACTCAAGTACTTACTAGAAGATAGTCAGCGCCTTTGACAGCATCGTTAGCGAGTCGGAGAGCCTCAATATGTGCAGTGTGCAATAAATCCCAAACCGCGGAGATATACACAATCTAGGGAAACGATTGTAACCATCAGCATAGCTCTTCAATACTCACTTTACTGGCACTCTCGATAGGCTTGTAACCCCTTGAAAACTCGGTCATCCTCCTGCTGGTCAGTGAGAAAGCCTCGTTGGCGTTTGCACCGGGGTAACAACCCAAAATCTGCGAAACGGTCGAACAGCCTATAAACCTCACAGTATAATCGCTAAGCGACGCAAATCTTTTCTTCCATTATGCAATAGTGAGCTTTCAATTAACGAAATTAAGTGCAGTCGCAACCGATTCGAGATTCGTTCAATTATCGAATGAATATCAATAACAGCTCATACGAAATAACACGCTTCACGAATTCCCGTCATAATTCCGTTTCACATCACCAGTAAAGATGAGTTTTTTCGAAGAAATCGTCGGAACCGAAGAAACAGTTCGCAACTTCCGCAGCAGTGCGACACAGAGAGTATACCGATGGTCAGTGCCATCATTGGACAGAGGAGAATCAATACGGCGCAGACGAGAGCAGAAAACTACTCTATTGATCAGGGTCGTTGTAGAGATACACTCGCTCCTCCTAAACTCGCGGTATCTGAGGGGAGCCACGACTCTGCGGGATGTCATCTCGCATGCCACAAAGTGACCACATGAAGATTCTCACCTTCCAGCTTCTTTGACGTAACCATACATATCGGTACCATCAGAGGCTTTGGCAATGTCGTCACCATGCACCGCATAATCGATGCGATGCTGAGGGAGAAAAGGTAACAACAGTCAAGTGGTAACGACGATGCGTGTTGGCAGGAAGAATCCCAGCACTGCTGAAGCCCGTCCAGTAGCGCGAGATAATTTAGCGTCACGGAGACAATACCTTATCCAGGAACTCCACTGTGAGGGGCTTGTAAGGAACATCGTGCACAATGTCATCCACCCACTTACAGGACCTCAACATCGTCTGGAAAACCCATTAGCGCGTCACAAACGTGATAGCTATTCACATCACCTCCTTCTCCTCTTCCGAACAGACGAATTCCCCTCCTTTCACTCGACGGATTTCCTTGTTAGGGTGGATTCCAGCCACGACTTCAACACGAACCCTCTGAGAGTCGAAAATCCCTCGAGTGGACGACTCTTACATCCA